TATAAGCAGTTTATCTCTATTATACTTATAAGAAATTTGGTAAAGATAATTTGGCATATACTTTTTTGACTTCAATTAACTTAGTTTTTAGAATTATATATATCTTAGACAAAAACTTTACCTATTAAAACTATTTGATTCTCTTTTAATTTTGAAAGATACCTTTTTTTTATAAAATATTCAGCTATTTTTTCATCATTTTATTTGTTATTAAAATAACTACTATTTAGAATATTATTATCCTTATATACAGTAATCTTATTATATTTGCCAAAATCTGAAGCTAGCAAGCCAATGAGTACAATTCAAACTTTAGTTAATAGTATCAAGTAATATATAGTATTATCAGAAAACAATATACTTTGACCAATATTGTGTCCTTAATGTTTTATTTTTAATTTATCAATATACAAATTCCAGAAATAGCTTAAATAAAGATTGTTATAATAAGTATCTATTAGTAGAACAATTCACTTTCTCTGGAGATAATGTTCATAACTTTTCATTTATAGTTTTTTTTTTAATATATGAAGGTATTGTCAGCTCATTGTAGAGTCTATTGCTGTTATGTTTATTATAAGATGCTTTGCAAATAATCTATAATTCTTAAAAATAACAGAAGAAATTGTATAGAAGCTAGACATTTTCAATAGTATAGCTACTCAAAGAGTTAAATTTCTTGTTTTGTTATCTATTAACAAGAATAGTAATTTAAGCTATAAAGGTTTTAATTAGCTAACTAACAGCTATATTTCTAAAAATTTTCAGTAAAATTTCCATTCAATTTTAAGTTCTCAAAACATATACTAAATTATATGATCTTTAGTCATATTAACTAGCTGATTATATTATATTGGCTAGTTAAGCTGGCTAGGCTGGCTTAGCCTTAGCTGCTGTAACTGACTTAAATTACTAAACAAACATACTTTAAAAATATTAATTTTTTCAATTTCATATATTATATCTACTTTTATTATTTGATTAGTTGATTAAATATATGTGTTATAATGCATATATACTAAATTATATAAACCTTTTTTAAAAATTAGATAATTATTTTTATTTTCTGAACTCTTGTAAATTTTTCATCTATCTAATATAAATTATAAATATGTATCATTTCATTAATAATCACTAAGAACCACATTACATTGAGCTATTACACATCATATGATTTAATATCATAGTGCAAGCTATATGTAATTTACACTATATAAGATTTTTAAATTTTTATTGATCATTTTTATCATTATAGTAATTTATTAGTAGCTTTAAACTATTCTAATTCTTATTTTAGTAAAACAAACTCAATTCTATAACTTGCAAATAATATTAGAATTAAGTAGTTTTAAAACTATGTTGAGATATTTTTAAATTTATTTTGTTAATGTAATTAAAAAATCAAATATTTTTTTAGTTATAAATATTAATAGTAAAATGATTATGATTTATAAGTTTATACTATAGAAACCTGAAATATTTACATAAAATTCTTAAATGTCACAACATAGTTTTATGACCACACTACTTATATATCATTTATAATTTACAGAATTGAATTTGTTTTACTAGTACAAGAGTTAGAATGTTTTAAATGTGAATTTAAGTATGATATATATAATATTAATATAGTACTATTAATTTAAATTTATACTTAAAACATTCTAACTCTTGTATTAATAAAGAAAATTCAATTCTGTAAATTGTAAATGATATATAGCTAGCATGGCTATAAAACTATTTTTGACATTTAAGAATTCTATATAAATATTTCAGGTTTTTATAGTATAAACTTATAAATTGTAACCATTTTACTATTAAAATTTGCAACTAAAAAAACATTTGATCCTTTAATTATATTAACAAAATAAATTTAAAAATGTCTCAACATAATTTTAAAACTACTTGATTCTAATATCATTTGCAAGTTACAGAATTGAGTTTGCTTTACTAGAGTGGGTGTTAGAATGGTTTAACGATACTAATAAATTACTATGTTGATAAAAATAATCAACAAAATTTAAAAATCTTACATAGTGTAAATTACATATAGTGCTGCACTATAATATTAAATCATATAATGTGCAACACCCCGCCATCACACGACATAAGGAGTGATATTGAACAAATAATTACCATAAAGTACCAACTGATGTATCTGGATATTTACAATGTACCTACCACATGTTTCTTGTTCAAGTTTGCTAGTTTCAATGTTTGCGCAAGCTAGATATTCTTCAAAAGTTTAAGATGCTATTCTTCGAAATATAATATGGATAGTATCCACATATAAGTCGAATTTATATCCGCAGAATACCCCCGGGCAGTGTTGTACGCGGACATTGTCCCATCAAAATTGCGTGGACACGGACAGTCCCGAACAGTGTCCCATGTCATATGGTTTATCGAACAACCTGATTGGCTAACACGGTTATTCTTTTATAATATTAATTGTCCGGGACAAAAAAATATTGGCAGACATGTCCGGGACGTCCCGTCCCGGACTGTCCGCTGTCCGCGTCCGTGTCCCATGACAACATTGCCCACGGGTACAACTTATGGGGGATTTACCGTATGACACTTTACGTATTAATCATCAAACAATCGTTAAATATTAATCATCACTCTGTATCGGTGAAATGATACGTAACCATAAATTATAGCCTAATTTTGAGTGTCGAAAATATTTTAGGTTGCCTAAGATACAGTATTTTATGATACTGTAAATACTTTGTATTTCTGTGAATATTTAGGTAATACAAATTGCCAAGATTTCTAATCGAATACTTCAGTCAATTATTTTACCTAATTTATCTAGATAATCGATTAATTGATGATGCCAAAATTCATTAGTCATTTTAAGAACTTTATAATAGGGCAAATCTTAGATAAAAGAAGGTTCGATCATAAAGTTTTAACTATTTGAGGAAATTTTATAAAAGCGATGGCATAATTGTTAAGCAAAACACGGAGATTTTGCGCTGACGAAACGCGAAACCTAGTTTCGCCTTTCATCAATTAAACCCTCAAATGCCAAAATGATAAAACTGACAAAATAATCCGTAATGCCGTAAATAGCCCATAATTTAGGAGCAATGTATAATGGCACTCATATATCCGTTCAGATAAATCGGAATTTATCCGTATCTGATTATCTGTTCCAACTTCGACGGATGTCCTTACATGATCATAATTTTATGACATAAAATAATAAGTCAATGCCGACCTGACTCATAATTTATGATGGATAGTTCGGTTTACTGACATTTTCATAAATTCTGGAACATCTGAAAAGAGTACCGATTAAACAATTATTTGTTAAATATTAATTAATTGACGCGTACGTAAACTAGAAAGTACACTAAATACGTATTGATATTAAAACTTGCGCTTAATCAATTACTCAAATCAACAATAAATCGACTACTGTCGCTATGTTCTTTATTTATATGCGATTTATTTGCGATATATATGTCAAATAACAATCTAATCTCAACCAATAGGTTAACACCCTTTAAATTTTTGGGGCATGATCTAAAATTAGCCCTAATGATAAGTTTCTGTCATAGAATTTATGAAACAGCTGTAAGTGTCTGAAAACAAAATTTTATCTAGTCGTCCAGATAAATTTGTTCCACCTCCAGAAAGGTCAAATCAATTATCGTTTGAACATGATCATGATAAAAAAACGTGCAAATACGATTACTAAGAGAGTTACTATATGTAATTTAGGTTTATTTAGGTAGATGATTTTTTTTTAAAAAAAAATAATCCTGTCTTCCATTAGCTCTATTCATAAATAGTTTCCTTGGAACAATGAATTAAATGTCAATGTTCTTCATTGTTAAATGGATAAATTGATAATAGACCCTATTCAAGCAGGGTGATTTTTCTAGACCATAACCCGAATATGCTAATCATGACTACTGGTAGCGATGGTGTTTTTAGAGATGTCATCGGTAGAGGCCTGCACGAGCCGGGTCGAAATTAAAAAATATTAAAAACCTCTCAAAATTGCGGACCTTAGTGTGTCAAAAGCATAGCAAAATGCAAGGGCCGAAAATTTAAAAAAACTAAAATAAAATTTATTTTGCGGGCCGGCAAAAACAGTCATCTAGTCATTAGCTCGATCGGCTTATCGTATGCATAGTTAAAATTGATTAATAAACATCAACTCATTGACTTGACTTGACTGATTTATAAATTAATTTAATTATAGCGATAATTAACACTAATTAACAACACTTATTAATCAATAATCTATTTTTAGGGAACACTATCCATGCAACAGCTTATTAATTAGATGTAAATCTTGTTAGGTAAGATTTGCAGATTTTCTGTTGTCACGTATTGTAACTACTACTTTTAACGTTAGCAAGCTGTTGCGCGATAGATAGATACGTCACGATATCAGTAGCCTAAAATTTGTTAGATACGTATATACGTACGCCAATTAACAACCTTGCTTCTCCGCTTTCAAACTTTCAAAATTCCATGTATCGGTATTGATTGTAATACGTTTATAAATTGCTATAAGAACACTGCTCTTTAGGTTGTTAACCTAAAGTAAATAAGAGTCGCCAACATTAGTTTCACTCGGATGAACCGATGCAGATCAAACTTTTAACCACAGACAAGTCGGCCCGTAAATTACTTATTTGTGCTAAAAAAAAAAACGAAAAATGCCTAGTTAGCTTTTTTTTTTTTACATAAAAATCAGAATTCTAATCGGATCCGAACAATCAGGTAATCAATGATCTAACCATTGAACTAAAACATCGAAATTTATTACAATAGTTGATTGTATCCAAATTGGTGTTGGTTATAGGTCAATGGATAAGTTCGCCGCTGACAAATTAATTGAAACGAAATTATTTCTAGTTCCACAGATCGATTTATTAATAATTACAGTTCGGATGATCGATAAGCATGGACATGTATATATATACTTGGAATCTTAAGTTTTTTGTAATATATATTTCTATACCTAACATTACAAAATGGCAACAAAACCAAATATTGTTATTATTGGTGGTGGATATGGTGGAATAACCGTGGCCACAAAACTCGAATCAGCCCTTCATAAAACTCATCAAATCATTCTTATTGAACGTAAAACTTATTTCTATCATTCTATTGGAGGTCTTCGCGCTGTTGTTGAAGATGGTTTTGAACATAAAATTATAATTCCTTATAATAACCTTTTTAAACATGGAGGAAAAGTTGTACATGCTACAGTTGATGCCATTCACGAAAAAGAGGTTACCGTTAACACCGAAACAGAATTGGGAACTCAGATACCATTTGAATTTTTGATAATTGCTACCGGTTCTAATTACCCTAAACCTGGAAAGTTAATTGCTGATAATAAAGAAGAAGGTGTTGTCGACTTAGTCACACAAAGAAACGCCGTAAAACATGCAAAAAAAATTTTGATTATTGGTGGAGGTCCCGTGGGAATTGGTACGTTTATACATTTATGAATAAAGCACTTACTACTATTATTTTATTGGCTACATCTGAACTTTTCGTAATTGTATATTGTTCTCGCTCATATCTTGTTAATTTTAAAATAGAACTTGCTGGAGAAATTGCAACAGTTTACCGAAACAAAGAAATTACGCTTATTCATTCAGAAAATCATTTACTTAATGAAAAGTTTCCCCCAAAAATGAGAGATCTCCTTGCTAAACAATTGAGGGAACTAAATGTAAAACTTATTTTTGGTGAACAGATTAATCTTTCATCTTCAGGTATTGGTGATGGTTTGTCTCCCTTGACCTTGGAAACTGACAAGGTTATTATATAGGATTATTTCTTTTCTGGCCATTGTTACACGAGATTTAATTTAATGATAATGATGGACCTATACATATATATTTTCACACTTAAATGTATAATACTACCCAAATTTTATATTATTATTATTATTTTATAGGGTATGCAAATTGAATCAGACGTTCAATTTGTAGCTTTTGGTGTAAAGCCCAACACTAGCCTTATAGAAACGTTTGACCAATCATTGATCGAACAAGATACCACACGAGTAAAAGTTAAGTCAACTCTCCAACTAGATCATGATAATTATGCACGTATATTTGCCCTCGGCGACATAACAAATATTAATGAAACAAAGCTTGCCTACCGTGCTGGCCTTCATGCTGATATTGTAACTAAAAATATTATTGCATGCATTAATAATAAAAAATTGGTTGAATATAAACCTGGTCCTGAATTTATGGTCATTCCCATTGGAAAGGTATTGTCTATTATTTATTTATCCGTTATTATTTATTTATTTATTTTATTTATTTTTATTTATTTATTTTATTATATCTTGTTTTGAATTAGAGTAAAGGAGCGGTTCTTTTACCAATGGGTAATATGGTCGTTGGTAGTTTCATGGCTAAAAATGTGAAGGGTAAAACTCTCTTTGTTAATAATTATTGGAAAGCATTGAATGCCAAACTTCCTAGTGCATAAATTTTTATCCTTTTCTTTATTTTCGCCACTGCGAATAACATGACTTTAATCGTCTTAACAGTTTTAATCATAATCTTATTCACGAACATTTAAATATTTTGAAATATATATATAATTATAAATACTTGGGGAATTGGTCAATAGAAATACAGCTTATGGTATAAGTCATTAATTTTAACAATGATTATCATATAACGATAAAGTGATTATTATTTTATGTAGTTTCACTTTTAAAATATTGATTTGTATACAGTAATAAAGTTAATTATTTATTAAGTGATCTTATTTTCACAAGACAGTACTTTATATTTTCAGTGTTTAATTTGATTATTATTACTGCCTTTCGGTTGCTATCCCATTCTTTAAAAATCGATCGCTTTATTATATATTTCTATTTTTTCCGATGACTTTATAATTATTTTATGTGAGTTGATATCTACCGGTAGATACGGGTAGATACCATTAGGTTAATAGTATGCAAGGGTAGATACCAACAGCTACTAATAAGTTAACCTTAAAATCATATTTTTTAGATACTAATCATGCGTTTAGTGCCTACCAATACTGGTAGAAAACTTAGTTATCCAGCTATTTCTAACTTCTAAAATAGCACTAGCGATATCATGAAATTAGATTCGATAAAAGTTATTCTATGAACATATCAAATTAAAATAGAACAAATCCGGTTGTGGTTGTCATAATATCGTTAGTCTATTTCAGATGCTAGAAATAGCTGGACACTCTGATTACTGGTTATAATTAATTAAATATAACGATAATAAAAAAAGATGTAACGGTAACAGTAAACTAATTTTAAAATAATATAGTTATTGGATGTTTCGCATCCAATAACTATATATTATCCGTCTAATTAGACTTTAATTCTAATTTTAAATTATTTGAATATTCAAAATATTTGTCAAAATATATCACACCATTTTTTTATAACTTGCGTAAATGTAGTATTTATGCGGTATCCTGTTTTGTGGTGATTAGGTATGAAACTCATCATTCCAGTCCAATATATACAATTATTAAAAATAACACATTGATTCTAACATTGAGAATCAACTTACCGAATGAATTATTTTATGGAGAATTGATTCTTATCTGCAAGGATTGCATATTGACATTAGTCGGACTATCCTATTTCCACATGTTTCTACTTAGACATTATCCATAAGTTTGCTAAATAAATGCACTGATTTATCGATTGGACAAAGACAATTAAAATTTTCTTGCTACGTAACTTATTGAGATGAAACCATACAATTTATTAAATGAATAACGTTAAGCGCCTTCTTTAGCGTATGAAATAAATGAATGAGTTCTTTGATTGAATTTATTGGTTCAGTTTTTAGCGTAAGCAAAGTTTCTATTTATGTGTGCAATTGGAATGACCCTTCTAGCCCTTAAAATCTCCTTAAAATAATAACTCCAATCATAAATGCGCATTTCATATATGATATTAACTTACAGTACGTATGTATATATATTCACATAAAAGAATGTTGCACGTTTAAGGGCTCATTGTTAAATGTGTCTCATTGTCAAGGATACGAGTTATATCACATGCATTCATTCGTTTTACTCAGTGCTCGATGCACTTTTTTGTTACATTAAACTGTACGAGCGTATAAATATTACTGCGGAATGTTAGTAATGTATACAAAACGTGGCATAAACGTGTACATTTCTATGTATTGTATTAGCACAATTGATGCGCCTAACCTATTACAGTTTGATAGAGTTGTTTGTGATTATTATTTGCCAATAAATAAAGACCTCGTTTCAATAATGTATTGGCAATTTCCAAGGAAATGACCAAGTAATAAAGAAAACGAAGTGCGTATATATGTATGTAAGTACATGAGTATTGAGTTTATAATGTTACACGCTTTTGCTTTGAAAGAAAAAAGGAATTATTTGATGATATGTATTAATAACTCGATTAATTTACTACCCTAGAAGTAATGCGCGAATCAATGTACCTGTGGTATTTTGCCAAGAACAATACCCGTATCATATTATCATTCCACAAATTTATGCATTAGTAATAAATATCTCGCGTAGTGTGTAAATTGTAAAAAAGGAATGATTAAAGATGTAATTAAAAATTTAGAGTTCAATAAATAATAAATAATGATAATGTCATTAACGTCAGTAAATGTATTGGAGTGGATCTACCAAGAAAGGCATATCAATATGCATTACAGCTATTGTTAATAAATAAATATAATTAAAAAGGAAATCGTATGGACAAATAGAAATCAAGGTTCTTGAAAATAAGGTTTACTATCCTTATACATCACATGCGAAATTAGAAACAGACGCAGTGAATAACATCCACGGTTTTGTATTTGTCCTTTCACTGTATATATAGTTTGATATTTAGTAATATTTTGGGGGTTATTTATAGATCTTGATACCAGGTTTATATGCATTAAGTTCCAGACCAAGGTTAATGTGTAAATACGTAAAGTGCTGACCTGTAGACTCCCCATCATTTGTATGTACATGCCTGAAGACGCTTGAAGGATAGTATGTATCATGTGTCTCAAAGAATAGTAACATTGTATTTTTTGGAGAATGTTAGAGAATAGTCGGGTAATACAAAACTTTAAGAAAATGTTACCTCTTATAGGCTCGGTAATGTTAGACGACTGATACCGTGTATATACTTAAGTATAAGGTTTGTTGCAGTTACGCGTTAAGAGGATTTAACATTAAGTGATTTATAGTTAGTGGCTAAATTTATATGAAGGTACAATTGTCATACAAACAGGTTTATTAACAATTAATTAGAGTTATTATCAAGTTGCAGGAACTTTTTCCTACGTACAAGATTTTTTTTGGCTATATTATATCTATTCTATCAGATAACTATACATTATTAATTAAACAGAACTAATTCAATTAGTTAATTTTGTTAATAAATCTAATACAAAAGTAACCTTTAGGATATTTTATTATGCTGTTACGGGGTTAATTGAAAGTACGGCTAATACTGTGTACACGTGATTTCAATGTTTTTATTTTTATCTTTACAGAATACTTACCAGAGGCGTGACAATGATGAATTGGAAAGGAAGTTTTATGGGTTTGAAGTTATTATTTTTATTAACCGAAGGTCTATCCCTTTACAACGGCGAGATATAAGAGCGTTAGGGACTTTGATAATTAATTTATCCCGTTCACGGTTATACATGTTGGCAAAACCTATGGGATTTGGGATTGGACAACCTGGACAAATCGGTTTGTCCACCCATGCTTAAAATCCCATATGACAAACTGGACAAATCCCAATACCAAATCCCAAATCCCAAACTTTGTCACAAATCCCAATACCAAATCCCAAAGCCCAAACTTTGTCACAAATCCCAAACCCTGTCACAAATCCAAATCCCAAATCCCATTCTATTCTATTCTTGTAGAAAGATTTTCATATGATTGGCTAGTATAAATCGGTTCTACCATAAATCCCGACACCTAAAATCTCGAAATCCATAATCCAGACATCATGCGGCGTACAATTAATATTTAAAGATTAGTAATCACATTAACAATCACTGTCAGGCTTGAAATTTTAATCGTCGCATCGCGTGATGTCGGGATTATGGATTTCGAGATTTTGGATGTCGGGATTTTTTGGTAGAACCATTTTTCAGATACTCTTATATTTAATGAATTGACTCGACTATATCATGATCGATTATTGATCGTGCATGATTTTGTAGACTCGGTCAAAAATAGGTCAATTATTGATCAGATGGATGATTTTGATCGATCATGAAAATTTCCATAGAATACATTATTATTTTTAATTTTTTTTTTTTAGTAGATAAAGTATAATTGACCAAATGATCGATCGATTATATTTGATCGACCATACTCGATCAAGTTTACATAATTGATTTTTGATCAACCAAAAATTTTTTTGATCAATGATCGAGAAATGATTTTTTTGTCGAGTCAATTCATTATTTTATATTTTTATATGATTAAAGTTTATCAACATAACTAAAAGTCAACTTTATTATTACAAAAAGTTACAAGACTACACCTCTTGTTAAGATGAAAATAATTATAGGTTTATTATATATATTATTCAATCCTAATTAGTGATGGGCAAATCGCAGTTTTTTAAAAATCTCGCGCGGAATAGAGTAAAGTTTTATACAGTATATATAGAATGATAACCAAATAAAAATTCTACGTAGAAATGCAGACCGGTGTAAAACAGCCACCCAAAAAAGTTTCGAACATCACGTGACAAATATATCAAGACTAAAAATTCATGTAAAAAATCATTTTTCACCAATTTAAACCTTGTGAAATAAATAAAATGATTAATTGATTACTTATCGTTTAAATTTTTTTGTTTGCATTTTTTTGTTAAGCTACATGAATTTTTAGTGCTCGATATTTTGTCTCTCATCGAGGTGTTTTGCAAAAATACAATGAAATACAATTATGAGTATTCTGTCTCTGCTGCTTCGTGCAAACTTCCTAAATCAACGCAGAATTTGAGAGCATCGATAAAGCGTAAATAAGCCCAAAAGTGCAAATAAAATGCCAATAAAAGCACACATAAGTGCAAATTAACATGCCAATAAAATGTACCATTCGCAACGTTAAACTGAATGCGAATTTTTCCGTGACTATCGTCCCGATAGGCCACTTACACTAGAATTGACTGTCGTCCGACAGGCCAAATTCGAACCCACTGTAACAAAAAACAACCAACTTCTGTGACTGTCATCCGACAGGCCACCTACTGAACATGAATTTTGGCTGTCGTCTGACAGGCCAAATCCGCACTAAAACAGCATTCAAAAACAAGCTTACTCACAACTTACCCGCAGTACTTATTTGGGCATCCACGAGGGTGAGAAAGGGCGGGACGAAAAAACCAGACAAAGTCGGGTTAGCAGAAAAAACAGAAATTACTTTGCCTGGGAAAAACCTTAACCCTTTTAAATATGCCCTAGCGATTACTAATCAAAAAACTAATCAAAAACTACGTAATTTCGTCGTTACCCTAATAAACTAAACTCTAACGACGTAATTACGTCGTTACTATAACTAACTCTTAATGATCACCCGATCAAAAGATTATCCACTACGCAATCCATTACCCAACGCTTACAAATTGAATATACTCCACCCATACGTAACTTTTACGATAGGTCCTATCGTTAATCAATCAAAAAATTATGTCATTACTCCCTTGAATCATGCCATACAAATCATGCAATCAATCACGATACCATTTACTTAATTAATCAATTACACTCCGTGTTCGATTCGAGACAAAATGCTGCTCCGATACTTTCGTGTCGGACAGCTAATATTTGTTACGTGACGTTCGAAACTTTTTTGAGTGGCGATTTTACCCCAGTCTTAGAAATTGGCCCATTAATGTTAATGCAGGCCGGATGATATTTAATGTAGGCCAGATGATATGCTAATGCAGGCCAAATAATCTCATATTAAAAATCCCGCGCGGGATCCAAAAAAAAAACCCGCGCATCCCGCGCGTGGCCCATCTCTAATCCTAATTGCCAGAAATTACCAATTTGTAACTCATGCTTACAAAGGCACAAAAATTCTTGCATGATGTTACTGGATAATGATGTTTTAGATATCTACCTGAGTTCAATTTTACTTTTAAGCACACAATTCATGACTCATTGACTTTTGTGTTGCTGATCGTAAAACCAGATTTCATTGTCAAATTAATAATATATGTAATATTGAATTATAAATCCGAATGTTTTATATAGTTTAAACAGAATTTTTATAATACCTATACATGATATTCTGAATCGGTTTGTTTCATGTTTCAGAAGAGACAGTGCCCGATCCAAAGTGAATCCATCTCGCCTGTGATTTATGTTGGATTCAATTGTAATGGATATAATTCCTCACCAGTTTTAATATACGTGTAATATTAACGAACTCTGCTGTAGTTTCATGTATCTTTGGTAGTTGGCAACAAAAGTCCAAAAGAATATTTATCTATGGTACGAATTAATAAAAATTTCGGGGTCTGGGTCAAAATCCCAAATCTCGACAAGGTCATAGTCCCAACAAGTTGGCCTGCATTAGCTGTAGTTCGGGTCAATTTTGTCTAGATTTTTTTTTTCTGGATTTGTTCAAAATTTCGTATGCCATACCCATCTAAATGGGTTTAAATAACAATATAGAATTTATAATCCATATCGATAACTTATCAGACTTTTGTAGTCAATTATTTATAAGCATCAGAAGAGATCCTACTGTAGCAGTCATATTATTTGTAACATAAAATCTGTTGATCGATTAAAATGTTTTAGAAAATGGATCTATTCCATTCATAAAGTTCTTGCGTTTTTCAGTAAGTTTAAATAATTAAAGTATTAAAGTATAGGTAAGGAGCCCATGATTAAGTTGTATTTCTAATCCATAATAGATAAGTTACACTTTTCTGATCATGACAAATTGTCATGATTCATCATGTTTCATGTAATTTTATTCGCACTTATTTCTTATAAACAAAGCTTACAATATTTGGAAAATTATTTGCTATGCTTTTGGTTCTAATTTCAAACTTCCGCCTGATTGATTTGATTCTAATGAGTTATATAATTCTATTTGAGGTCTATAATTGCCTTAGCTACAATGCAGATCGATTTCATTGAGATTATTGGTTTTCGAGAAATGGCATTCATAAATTTATATCAAACTCGTATCTTAATGGATGACTATAAATTCATAGCAAAAATTTTTTTATTTTTGCTTATTAACATACATTCTGTTTAAACCGTCATTATCTGGCATTTATCCCAAACTATCATAAACAGACAGCATCTATTTCCACCATGGCTGTAATATAATTATCATAAATTTTCATGGTGGAAACGGATAAGATCCATCGAGAAAACTCGTACTCTGATCTTATTAAATTACCAGGGTTACTATAATAGCAATTGTTACCCAGTAAAACCTCTAGGTGGAAATAGGCGTTCCCTATAAATATTAATTCAATAATTAACAGAATAAAACTTAACAAATATTTAAATGAAATAATTTATTTGACACCTGAGTGAGTTATTCCCTTTAAGTACAAAAGGGACCCCGGGTTATACAGTATTAATATATTAGAGTTAGAATTAAAGTTAGAGTTATGATTAGGCTAAGGTAAAATTGCGAGGAACATTTTTGATTATGTTACATGACAGGGTTACTTTAGTAAATGTTTGTGATGTTGGCATTTTTTCAAATTTCGTATAAGGGGATAAGACTCACCATGGGTGAGAAATGAATTTGTTCTATTTAAATAATTCTCTAATGTAAAATTATCAAATTTTGCAATTTCAGCAATTAGCTGTTAAATGCTGAAACTTTTTAAAGTCCAGTAAGTACAAATTTTTATATCTTAATCACAACTTTCGGCAAAAAAAAAAAAAAAATAGACCTAGAAATTTTACTAACTGACGTAATGTAATTTTCCCAAAAATTGCTTGAAGGTAAAAAAATTTGGCAATATTTTGTCGGTAATTAGATATATTTTTTAGTATCTATTACTATAATTTTTCCTTCATTTCCTTTTTTTCAAATCTTTTCCTCATTAAGACTGGTATCAAAGCTGCAATAGCAATAAAAATCATCGCGATGATGTTTTTGGTAGTGAAAAATGATATTTCATCAGTTTCTGATAATTGATGGATAGTATCTCCAGCTTGTGTATGAATAAATGACAGAGGTGCCACACCTTTAATGAGTTCATTTATGAGAATGAAATTAATAGTCTGCAGAATTGATAGTTGGATAAACCGAAGAAAATTTTTCTAATAAATTGTATACCCAGTAAAGTTGCCCAATAGAACACACTAGTCTCCACCCCCAGATGAGGAGATGCGATATTAATAAACCAATTCGGCAAAAACGGCGTTACCCGAAGGAATATGATATATGAAAATAGATGCTTCCTATGATCTTTCAACTATGTTCAAAAATGCAATATAAAATATAATTGTTAATTTTTTATCATTAAAATTATATAAATGATAATCACCTGCTCATTCCAAATCTCCATACGTTCAGAAAAGAACCTCTCTGTTACAGCTTGGCCTAAATAATAAGATAATAAACTACAGATAGTAGCACCCGTTGCAGAACACTAAAAAATAGTTCGAAGATATTAAGCAGCCTGAAACATTTTATATCAAATAAATTATCAATTCTAACATCAATAATATAAGAACTTACAAAACAAACAAGTAACAAAGCCTTCCAACTTCCCCACAAAGTTCCGCCCAATACACTAAGCATTACGCTTCCTGGTATGGCGAATGACTGTAAACTAAAATATCAAAAGTTTTTAAAATACGTCGTAGAAACGAATGAAGCAACAGAAGAACGAGTTTTAATGACAACCGTACAAGATATATGTTACGACATAGCAAATCAGTACATGAGAATCTACTGCGTCATTATCAGTAAAGGCTTTATGTAATAATTTAATATCATATAACGTTCTTGGGAATCTTAAAGCAACATTCCTAAACAAAAGGTATGGATTTTAGAAATTCAACTGTATCGTGTTAATGAATAAATAAAAATACTTACCCTGTATTAAGCAAATAGGTATTAAGAGTAAAAATCACTAAAGTAAGAGATATTATAAATATTATAATCAGAGATATAAGTGAAAATATAATCGTTGACTTTAATTTATACATTTTGTTTGTGATTTTGTATTGAATTCAAGATTGAGATGAGCGTAAGAATGTGTAAAACCCTAATGAATATAAATAATTTGGTTAGTTGATTGTCATCAAATTATAAATTTCATGTGATCAACCTCTCCCCTGTAATTTTGACCAATCAAATTTTAAGTCAGGTGTAACGTAACGAACCACTTTTTTTACAAAAATTAAAATTCTAGAAAACAAAAATGAGTTGACTATCACATTCACCTGATCTTAAATTTTGATTTGTCAAAATTACAGGGGTGGACAGTTTTTGTAGGAAAGCTAAGATTCCTAAAATTTTTGTACGTGTTGACGTATTTCAAAGGCGTTACAGACGGAGAATACCAAAATTACGGGTTTGATATTTCTATTATAAATGCATCAAAAATCACAATTTCGGTCATCAAAGTACAAGTCCGTCGCTTCGCTTCGGACAATTAGTTCCAAACTAGTGTGACGGGTTTTATGGTCGAGTTCAGAGATGGGCAAATGCGACGGATTGCCACTTGAAAAACGATTATGCCGCGTAACGTTCCTCAAAGATAATAGAGGCGGATTTTATGATTTGGCACAAGGTCGAGGCGATCTTTTAAGGAGCGTTACCAGATAAGTATATGAATTTAAAGAGCGTTAATATATTTTATAGGTTAAAAAGGCTTCATTAACTTCTTTATTATTTGTAGGAGTAATACAACTATAGGATTGTATTATTATAATCTATCCTTATTCTAAGCCCTACTCTAGCATGCTTTGGCTAATTTCTACACTAACGTGGTGCATGTGTGTTATTGCACTCGGGTTACTCAAATAACGATACACTACCATACAAATTATGTGCAAATCCAAATTTCATAATCGTAATGTTTTCTTTGGTTGCATTTAAAAGCAAAAATGAAAAAGATTTATAACAAAATATTTAATAATAATAATAAAAATTTAGATGCTAATGTAATAAATGAACTTGGATATTGTTATCACCATGGAATAGGAGTTGAAAAGGATGAAAATAAGGCATTTATTCATTATCAAAAATCTGCTGAAATGGGAAATGCGAGTGCAGTATATCAAGTTGGATATTGTTATCAATATGGAATAGGAGTTGAAAAGGATGAAAATAAGACATTTATTCATTATCAAAAATCTGCTGAAATGGGAAATTCTACAGCAATAAACGATATTGGATATTGTTATCACCATGGAATAGGAGTTGAAAAGGCTGAAAATAAGGCATTTATTCATTATCAAAAATCTGCTGAAATAGGAAATTCGAGTGCAATATATAATACTGGACGCTGTTACCAAAACGGAATGGGAGTTGAAAAGGATGAAAATAAGGCATTTATTCATTATCAAAAATCTGCTGAAATGGGAAATGCGAGTGCAATATATCAAGTTGGATATTG